CTCATTTTTTTCAGGCCCTTCTGCAGCCTAATATTAATTTCCTCCAGGAAGTTTTCTCTCTACTGCCCTGGATTCCAGTGGTCCTCCTTTTTCCACATCCCCACTGCACAGCTGTATTAATGCCATTTGCCTCTTCCTCAGAGACTAGCTTTTTCTGTTTACATGAGCACGATGTTGAGTCTATAGAAGATAGTAGTAAGCAAACATGTGTTGATATAGTTAGTTTGTTAATTAAGAGAATCTTAAACCATAAGTAGATTAGACCTTTCTTCATATGGCAACTATGTGGCCCCAATATTGCCAAAACATTCTCCCATATTCTTGGCAGACAACACTAATTGAGTTCAGGATGCATACTCTCCTCCACCCCCAATTCCCTTTCAATACTGCCTGTGGGAAGTCACTGCCAATCAATCAAAGATGAAATGTGAGATGAAACTGACTTATCATCACTGTTATATAATCGCTGTTATATAATTGCTCCTTTTTCAGATGAAGTAAATGAGGCCCACATGGTTGAAATTACTTATTTGGTGCAAAATAGTTTGTTGTTGTTGTTGTTAATCCTCACCCAAGGATATTTTTCCATTGGGTTTTTAAAAATATTTTTATTGATTTCAGAGAGGAAGGGAGAGGGAGAGATTGAAACATCGTTGATTGGCTGCCTCCTGCAAGCTACCTACTGGGGATCAAGCTGGAAACCCAGACATGTGCCCTTTAGTGGAATTGAACCTGGAACCCTTCAGTCCGCAGGCCAACACCCTATCCACTGAGCCAAACCTGCAAGAGCCACTGATTTTCTTTTTTAGAAACAGCGGAAGGGAGAGGGAGAGACAGAGTGAGAGAAACATGAATGTGGGAGAGACAAGGGCCAAGGATCGAGCCTGCAACCGAACTACGTGCCCTTGACAAGAATTGAACCCCAGACCCTTCAGCCCAAGGGCCGACACTCTATCCACTGAGCCTAACTGGCTAGGGTACAAAATTATTTTTTAGTGGCAGAGCCAGGACTAAAGCTTAGCCCTCCGTTTCCTGTGTTCAGTGCTCTTTCAATTTACTATAGTTAACTGGGGGGGGGGGGGGGGGGGAGTCTTTTTATTCAATTCTCATAAGAGATTAAGTAACTGCTGATTACAAAGCAGAATTGAAATGGACTTTTATCTCCTCTTTTCTTTAGGTGTATATAGGTAATTTCAGTGCAAAACAGAGGCTGAGCGGTCACAGGAAGACAGGTGTCGGTTTTCTATAAAGGAAGCTCTAATCATCAGCGCTGGCCCCGATGGTGCTCTGACAACTGCTGTGCTCGGGCCCGGGGCTGGCTGCATGAGACACTTGGGAGGTGGAAGAGGTGGCCTCCATGAGGTGGGAGAAAGTACAGCTTATTGCCAAACAGGCCCTGGACTGTGCCTTCTATAGATGATCTCCCTCCATCCCCACCACTGGGAGGAGTGCGGTAGTGGCCAGCTCAGTTCCAGATGAGAAGACTGAGCCTCTGGGGATTCAAGGAATTCGCCAAAGGTCACACAGCCAGCAAGTAGCAGAGAGGGAATTTGAATTGAGATCCTCCTGACCCAAAGGCCATACAAATAACCAGTGACAAAAGACAGAGACAGCAATGTCATCTGGGTTGGTTGTTGAAAAGGGGGAAGGAGAGAGAGAAGGCTCTGGGAACAGGCAATTCAGGACTTTGCCTCGCCTGCTCTAGGGTGATCGGGTCTCTGGAGGTGCCTCCTGAACGTAGCTGGACTTGTCCCCACTCTGAAGTTGGTCAGGATAAAGCACGACCAGGATTTTAAAAATGTAGGTTCACATCCTTTTCCTGGTACAACCCCTAGATTTTGGGTGGAGAGCACAGCACACAAATAGGCAGGTGCAGTGTCACAGAATTCGAAAGCAAGAAGAGATCCAATGTGAGATCATCTCGGTTGCTCAGATCATACATGTGAGAAGAAACCCGTGGCCTGAGCGTGTGAGGCCCTGGGCTGGAGCGGGTTTCCTGGGCTCCTGCTCTGTCTGCTGCAGTGAGTGCCAATGCAGGCACCTTGTTGATCTTAGACGAAGGTGCTGCTCACACTTTGGGCTCCAGGCTGCAGAATTATGGCCTCACAATCTTCATCTCTTAAACTATTTTAAAAACCACAAAGGCGTGAGATTACCAAGCTTCTTTGGTAGGTGGAAGTAATTACAGGGAATGAATGAAATAGAACTTTCATACATCACTTAGTAACTAGACTCCTTCTTGAAGTTTCTTCTGCCTCCTCGGTTTGAAATAGAAAGATCTGATGCCAGGTTATTTTTTCTAATAAACGTTATTTTTATTATACAATTATATAAATGTTACAATTATTATAAATTTTATTTAAAGACATAGCATAGAAGTAATAACTACGCCATTAAGTTAAAAGCTACCGTGTTTCCCCGAAAATAAGACATCCTCCGAAAATAAGACCTACTTACAGGTTTCCTTCTGAGTGAAATATAAGGCATCCCCCCGAAAATAAGGCCCACCGTAGGCTAAACATGAGAGATTTGGTCCACTGATTCTGAAAGAAATGGAGTCACAAGAAATCCACCAGGAAATTCAGGAATTGGACTGTTATGATGATGTTCCAGAAGATGATGACATGATTGTCATTGAATAAATGAGTAAATTCTTGATACTGTAAGATTCACTGCTTGTCTGGTTTGTGTTGACAACTACCGTACTACCGTACCGTATACAGGTAATAAATTTCCTTTATTTTCATTTAACAATAAATGTGTACCGTATTCTTCTTCATGGAAAAATAAGACATCCCCTGAAAATAAGAACCAGCGCATCTTTGGGAGCAAAAATTAATATAAGACACTGTCTTATTTTTGGGGAAACAGGGTACATCTCTCTGTCTAAATACAGCCTTATTTATATTTTGGTATGTTTTACTTTCTATTTGGTATGCTTTACTTTCTATGTTTTACTTTAATTTATTTCTTTAATTCATAAATGTGTAGTACTACCAAGTTATAATCGTGTACTCAATGCTACTTCAATTTGGCTTTTTTTCACCTAATCTCACTTTATGCACATTCTTCCAGGTTATTTCATATTATTAAAAACATTATTTGATAATGTCAAAGAATGTACAATAAACTCTTCTGTGATCCATCATCTGAGCCCCAGATGCAGAAACGAAAATAAAGGTAATAATACAGTATCTCCCATTTCTCCAACATAAACAGAGCCCTGACTTACTCATCAAAAGATCACTGTTTAACACATTTTGAAATGTCCATATTTTTTTTTTTAGTCTATTATCAGGGCTGTGTAACAAAATGACAGATCTCCTAGAAGCTGCCTTTCCTTACAAAGAATTAAAAAATTAATAGACAAAGGCAGAAAAGTAAGAATTCTTAAGAACACTAGGCTGTACACAGAGGAACCAAGAACCAAGGAGGCCCACACAGAGCAAAGGGAAGGATTCATTTAAAGGAAACTCGGAAGAGTAATCTAGGCCAGCCAGTTTAAGTTTGGCAGTTTGGCAGAGACTGCTGGGAACTGAATGTCATTACCACCTGACAGATGTTCAGTGCCTTGAATGAAACTATTGATAGTTGGTCTCATTCCAGTGTCTAGAGAACAGGTGTGTGCATCATTAAAGGAAGTGGGGGGTGGGGGCTATCTACTGCTCATTAGCATCTCTGCTGGCAGGCTTAGCAGAAAGTCAAGAGTTGAGTGTCTGTGAAAGAGGCCGATTTGCTCTGGAGCAGAGAGGAACACACTGATGAACAACTGTGAAACCACAATTCTCAATTAGTGCCCATATACCACAACTCTAGACCCTGACACATGCCCAGGTGGGCATAGTCTACAGAAGGTCATGTTGAGTCTTTGAGCCCTTTGAAAAACCCAAAAGGCAGCGATCATTGGAAGCTCCTTCATTAACTAAAACAATAAATACGTTGCTGGTTGCATTTCCAGTTTAAAGTCTGTTTGTCTGATGAAATTCGTCCTGTCTGTGATTGCCTATCTTTCAGTACTCTGCATCTGCATTACTCATCAGGCATTCATCTAGTGTGTTCCTTATGTGATTTCATAGTTCAGCACATCCAAACAAGTACTGGGGTTCTGGCCTGGAATAAGTGGCCTCCTTTAAAATTGCTGATTCCAGAACTGTTCTCTTGCCCACAAAAACTTCAAAGAAGCCTCAGAGTTCCTTGAGAGAGCCCTGCTTATCAAGTCTAGTTCCTCAAGGCTCTATCCAACCCCAACCACATTCCTTACCTCTCTCCAGTCTTATCTTTCCTTATTCTAACCTCATCATTTCCTTCCCAATCAATTTGTCTTGCTTTCAATACATTACATCTATGTTTCTCTGTCTTCCCCTTTGTCTTCCACTCTCTCTAAAAATCAATGGGAAAATATCCTCAGGTGAGAACTGACAACAACAACTGAAGAGTAAAGGTCAATAAAGGTCATATATATATATATATATATATATATATATATATATATGAAGAAGAACAGGGGAATGCTGCTCAGCTTGTCGCAGATGAATATATACAGCTAGTAGGCAGCAGGCTCAGTAGAAAGAGCAAGACACTGGAGACTCCACAAAGAATTGTACTGTCACTTTGCTAGGAGTGCCCCCTATACGTCAGTCACTTAACCTTTCCTTTAACCTGGGTTTTGTTTTTTGTTTTGTTTGTTTTTAATTGAGATTAATACAGGCTCAGTTCACAGTTTGCTTTCAGGTATAATATACAAAACTGTCTATCCTACATTATTCACTAATAATTCCCCCGAGATAAATATAAACTCTCCCTTTGGCAACATAAATGTAGCTTTTTAAAATTGGTAGGTGTGCTTTTCTTAATAAAATGGTAAGGTTTTAAATACTTCGATGAGCGTTTATAACGCATACGTACATGCCAGGGGAACTAGAGGCAGAACATGGTGTGAAGTCTGACTCAGCTGGGGAAAGGGGCTCGCAGGTGGAAACGCACGCTCAGGGAGAACATACCTGGAAATGCTGCCACAGACGACCGAGCACGGGACCGTGCTGTGCAGGTACTGAACGGCTTTGGCTGTTCCGATTAACACGCTGATTCGAATGTGCCAAGAGAGTGGGGCTGTGTCCCCCTAAAAAGACAAGAGTAGTTGCTTTAGTTGCACTTTCGGAGTGAAAACCAGGCATGTATTCATTACAGAGAAGATTGAGAAGATTGAGGCTTTTTAATTCAAGAAAGGCTTTCCTCTACTCCCAATAGCTGTTCTAGGCCTTTGTAGCTTGTGAGACACCTAATAATGTGAATATTAGTTTAATCAAATTATGGGTAATTATGTTTAACAGCTCATTAAATAAGATTTTAAAATTATTCGTGGCATAATAGTGTGGGTAATTGAAAATAATTTTATTTTATTCTCATCTTAACTGAAACCTTTCTTATTGGAATCAATTTTTAAGCATATTAAAAAAAAAAAAAAAACACCTTATGAGAAATCATGGTGTTTGTTCAACCTCCTTCACTTTAAGGAGTCTGTATCACTTTTATGTTTATGAATACACTTTTATGTTTATGGTACCTTGGTAATGTTATATAAATAAAAAATGACCTGAGAAGTAAAGGTAATTGTTGTAAACTCATTTGAGACGTATCGATAGAATCAATAAGGAGTAAGAACCCAGCAAATCTTTTGGCCACCATGTTGTACATCACATGGTAACTCGGGCATTTATGCGGTCTTCTAAGAGTAAGAAATTAACTCTGCCTCCTTGTGAAACCCAGTGCAGGCTATTCCCTCATATGAGTGTGCACACTGGGCTCCCAGCTCTCACCAAAGGTTTCAGCGGCTCCCAGGGGCGTCAGGGAATCGGAGGAGCAAGAAGAGTAATGGAAATAACTTACTACACACTGTAATCTGTCAAAAAGTGATCCGTTTCTCATGTATGGATAAACCAGGCAGAACTTCTCACTCTCTGTAAAATACGCGGCCAATTCCAGGATGTTTGGATGATGAAATCTCAAAACACAAGACATTTAAATCCATCAGATTGCTTATTCAACAACACTCTGGCCAGGGGGTGGGGAATAGGTATAAAGCAGAATATAAATTTGGCCAAGAGAGAAGTAATTTCATTGGACACACGACACAGATCTGCTTTCCAAATTGGTCAATTTGCTCTAACAAATACTAGTCACTCTGATAGACTGTGACCATGCAAATACAAATAGAATATCCAAATATAAGACAAAATTTAAGAAAGCGAGGGTTCTTAACATTTGGAGTGTTGGGAACTATACAATAAATAGACAACACTACTGAACATTAACTTATTTCTATCAGCATAAAACTCAATATAACTTATTTATTACGTAAGTAAAAATAATGCAACTGAAATTATCCATTTCTTTGCTTTAGGTAGACATGGGTAAGTTAAGTTGCCAAAAGAGAAAAGTACCAAAGACTTGTTTCATTCATCCATTTATTGAGAGCTATGATGCTGCAGGTACTGCACCAGGCGTTGGTCACACAGGTAAAAGATGCATCCAATGTCTTCACAAAGTTTGTAGTGTTATCCAAACCCATGTGGCCAGTAAAGTTTAATGATGAAAAACATATCACTGATTTTTAAATCATAGAATTCTATGTCAATGAAAGATCCATTTTTTCAGGCTCCTTTCCTCTAATTAATCCCCTTTTAATGTGCAGGAATTTCATGCACTGGGTCACTAGTAGTAAAATAAACAAAGCGAACAAAGTATTTTTGCTATCTCCTGTCTGAGAAGAAGGAAATAAGAAAACAAATGCATAATGGAAAACATACAAGAAACTGATACCTCGATTGCTTTGGGAAAATTAGCTGGGTGGCTAGATAATAACGGAAGAAATTATTTTCTTGGTTTAGCCATTTGCACTTTAGAAATTTTGAAATCTTTGAACTTGTTTATTCATAAGCAAATAAATAAAGCTTAAATAGTGGTATAAAACCCTTACCATTGCAATTTTGGTTTTGGTTGTTCATTGCTTAAATGATAGATATTAAGGATTTTTAAAAAATAAATCTTTATTGTTCAGATTATTACAAATGTTTTCCTCTTCCCCCTCCCCGACATCAATGGATAATTTCAGTTGCATTATTTTTACCAGGTTCCCACCCCACCCTCTGCCTTTTCCCCATTCCCCATTGTCCTCATCTATAGGTGCACAGTTTTTTTTTCAATCTCTTCCTGCACCCCCCATTTCCCTTTTCCCCGAGAATCGTCAGTCCACTCCCCTTCCATACCTCTGATTCTATTATATTCAACAGTTAATATTATTCATCAGATTTTTTAATTCCCTTGGTTTTCAGTTTCACTTGTTGATAGTTACATATTTGCTGTTCATAATTTTTATCTTTATTTTCTTCCTCTTCCTAAGAACCCTCTTCAGCAATTCATATAATTCTGGTTTGGTGGTAATGGACTCCTTTAGCTTTTTTTTTTATTTGTGAAGCTCTTTATCTGGCCTTCGATTCTGAGTGATAGCTTTGCTGGGTAGAGTATTTTTGGCTGTAGGTTCTTGTTATTCAACACCTTGAATATTTCTTGCCATTCCCATCTGGCCTGCATGGTTTCTGTTGAGAAATCAGCTGACAATCGTATTGGTGCTCCTTTATAGGTAACTACCTGCTTTTCTATTGCTGCTTTTAATATTCTCTCTTTGTCTTTTGCTCTTGGAATTTTAATTATGATGTGTCTTGGTGTGGTCCTCTTTGGATTCCTTTTGTTTGGGATTCTGTGCGCTTCTTGGGCTTGTAAGTCTATTTCTTTCACCAGGTGAGGAAAGTTTTCTGTCACTATTTCTTCAAATATGCTTTCGGTATCTTGCTCTCTTTCTTCTTCTGGGTCCCCCATAAATCTGATGTTGGTTTGTTTGAAGTTGTCCCAGAGATTTCTTACACTATCTTCAACTTTCTGTATTCTCTTATCTTCTTGCTTTTTTGGAGGAGTGTCCTCTGGCTCTTTGTGTTCTAAATCTTTGTCTTGATTCTTGCGATCTTCCAGTCTGTTTTTAGAACTCTGTGTAATATTTTTTATTTCAGACAATGTATTCTTTATTTCTAGTTGATTCCTTTTATTTCTAGTTGATCCCTTTTCATATCCTCATAGGTCTCATTTACTTTATTGGCCTTTTTTAGGAAATTCTTGAAACACCTTATAATTGTAGTTTTGAACTCAATGTCCATTCTTTTCTTTTCCTCCATCCTTTGTGTCCTGCCTCTTCTCTGCATTTTAGTTATTTTCCTGATCTGATGGAATAGTTTTGAGTGTTCTGGTAGAGTCCAGTAGTACCGCCTTCCCAGTTACCCGCAGTGGACAGTCTTGGTGTATCCCTTTGTGGGCTGTGTGTGCAGTCTTGCTGTTAAGCCTTGCTTATTGTTGGTATCACTGAGAAGCATTGATCTCCAAGCCAATTGGCTGTGAGGATCAGCAATGTCTCAGCTAAGTGGGCTTCTGTACTCTGCTTGGATGGGGCGGAGTCTCGGAGTGGCGCAGACAAGCTTTGGTTCCCTGTCAGTCTCGCCTTAGGAAAGTCCTGTTCTCAGTGAATCTTGAAAATTGGTTGCAGGCGTGCGTACCTCTTTGGTAAAGGCGCAGACAAGCTTTGGATTCTAGTCAGTCCCTCCTTGGAGAAAGCCAGCCTCTGGGATAGCTTCTGTGCTCAGCTTGGATGGGGCGGAGTCTTGGGGTGGTGCAGACAAGCTTTGGTTTCCCGTCGGCCCCTCCCCAAGTCTCGCAGTAATGGCTGCTGGCTTCACACACCTCCGAGAGATCTCTGCCCGCTGCCTGACAGTCCGGCCTCTCCCTAACTGGGGCCGTCTATCAGAGCAATAGGGTGATTCTGTTTTCCTCCCAAACAAGAAAGCCAGCTGTGCATTAGCTGTCTGCCTTCTCTGTGCACTTGGTGTAAGCCAGCAGCAAACTTGGCCTAGCCCGCCCTCTCCACGCACTGGGATTAAGCCAGCAGTGAACTCTGCGGCCACCTTTTTGCACGCACAGTTCTCCGCACCTTCACAGTTTCTGAGGATCAGCACACCTTCTCTCTCCTTCCCAGATGGCAGAGCCTCCTCTCACTAGCCGTCTGGTGCTTTAGGGTGATGTTTCTCTGTTTTCCAGTTCTAAATTCAAAATTGTTGTGGTAGGCTGCATTTGGGTGTCTATCCTATGCCGCCATCTTGGTTTCTCTCCGATATTAAGGATTTTTTAAATATATTTTTATTGGTTTGAGAGAGGACGAGATAGAAACATAAATGAAAGAAAATCATTGATTGGCTGCCTCCTGCATGCCCCACACTGGGCATTGAGCCTGCAACCTGGGTATGGTGCCCTGATAGGGAATTGAACCATGATCTGCTGGTTCATAGGTTATCACGCAACCACTGAGCCACATCAGCTGGGCTAGATATTAAGGTTTTAAAATTAGCCTTTAAGGTGATGATTTCTGGTCCTGGGTATAAAAGGAGAAGGATTTACTAGTATGCTCCCTCCTCCAGGCATGTATTGGTCACATTAGAAGAGAATAATTTCTATTTGTAAACAGTGATGATTGAGCTCTCAAGGGTTAGGGGCCTTCAGTGAGGCAGGCTGCACAGCTGCAGATATGAATATATATTAAAATGAAGTCATTTCGGTTTGTCCCCCAAGGACTCTCAGGCCCGTGAATGAATTCCCAAAAAATAATATACACATCAGAAGTACTTGATTTCTTGGTCTAAAATTCTCTTCCTGACGAGGGTTATACCGATAAAACAGTTCCTTGACTGGAATGTCTCGAAGGAAGGGGGAAATGGTGATATATATTCAATTCTAATGTTCTAGGAATTATTTTATACTCAGCTATGTTAGTCACACATGATTTAACCCACTTCTCTATGACAGGTTCTTGTTAAAATATGTTCCAGTGAATTATGTGAATGGCCTATTTTAAAATGTATTCTGAGAAATATACTAAAGCAGATGTCAAAAATTTACAGTGTTCTATTACCCAACCCTTATTTTTTAAATGCCAACCATGCTGCAGAATCAAAGATGAATGGAGATGAAAACCAGATACAAAGGGAGGAATTCCAGGCAAATTATACTCACAGTAGTAAAACTTCAAGCTCCGATAAAAACCTCTTCCATTGTTTCTTGCATTGCATTGTTTTCTCCTAAAGATCATACAGAAAAACAAGGGGGTAAAAATTATGGAAAGGCTCACTATTCTTGGGGGTCTTAGCCTAGGGCCCATGGTCTCCCTGAAATTAGATAAGCTTTTTGGTGAAAATGCAAATGAACATTTTTCTGGGAAGAGAATACTTAGACTTAATCAGATTTTCAAAAATCCATTAACCCCCAAACAGATTTAGAACCAATGCTATCAAATTAATTTTTTTAATTAAGTTTTTCATGTTGCCATGTTCTATAGTTTGAACTATTTTACCTTTTTCACAAATTTAAAAATAGTATATGTATTCAAATAAATCCCATGATGTTTAGAAATTCCTCACTTGATCTCATGAAGAATTCAGTTTGTCATCCCCGAATTCTTGTTAATGAATCTTACTAAGTTGGCATTTATGACTTAGGTCATGTGAACAGTTTGGTTCAAGTTTACTTCTGTACTAATTTTGAAAAGATGGGCCTAGTAAGCAAGTGAAAAATATAATTCCTTACTTCAAAGATGCTTCAGAAGCTAGCCCAGTGCCTGACAAATATTTATTGAATAGATTAACGAGTTCAATGATATTGGCCTAAGCATCTACTCTATACCTGGCACTGTTCTCAAGGGCTTCACCCACCTTATGTCACACTGGTCTCTGAACTTCAGGTTCCTGACTTCTACCATAAAAGAGTTCAGTTAAGTGTGTCCTTAGGTCCCATCAGGTGTAAGGTTCTTTCATTTGCAAATTTCTAAACTGGGCAGTTTTCAGAGCTCTCTGTCCTCAAAAATAAAGGAAGAGAAATCCAACAAGAATTCTGGAAACTATTTTCCAAGTTAATCAGAAAGTCAGAAACAATAAACTAGGTTGACAGCTCATTTTCAAAGACGTCTTTATGAAGATTTATATTTTAAAAAACCATTGTCATGTGATCCAAATGGCTTGGGTCTCAGGCTCATCGCTAGCACCCACTATTGGTGACTTTTTATCACTAATTTCCCTGAGGTCAGACTTTTCTTAATCTTAACAGTGAAGGGTTTAGTGTCTATGTCTGCGCTAACCTAGCATTCTTGCTGCTCCAAGTGTGGTCTGTGCACAAGGAACATCAACTTCACTAGGAGCTGGTGAGAAAGGCTGAGTCTCAGGTCCCTGCCCAGATGTGCTGAGTCAGAACGGTAAGCTCCCCAGGTGTTGGATGCACCTATCTCATACATCTGGTATGTTTCCCTCTACCTTTGTCATCTCCTGTCTTTTTACTCCTAGATATTAGCAACGAACATCAGAAAACTGGCATCATTATCATTCATTTCATTGCTTGACAAACGTCTATTGAGCAACTACTATGGTTCAGGCCCTGTTGTGTGGCACTGGGATACTAAGATAAATAAGAGCTCTTTGAAGAAAACCAGCTAGCCTATTGTGAGATACAAGTGAGGAAATCTGTACTATGATATAACGCTGTGATGCTGTGTCTACACTTAGGAGGGTCAGCAAAACCATCCTGGAGGGATCAGAGGCAATCAAAGAAGTAATTCTCTGGGGCAGGAAAGGAAGGAGATCTAAAGGCAACGATATCTCATTCTGAAGCCAGACAGACTCCTGGAAACAAAACTCCCCAAAGGGAGTGAGAGTCGGTGGTAGCTGCAGAGAGAAGAGGAAGGTAGGTGGATGGAGCCTTTGGGGAGATGGCTCTGGGGTGCCACCAAAGGAGAATGTACTAATGGGGCCAGAGACACACTAGTGCTAAGACACAGGCTCTGGTTAGGCCACCTCTACAGTAACCTCATTCCCTGTTGAATGATTTTACCGGTAAATAGGTCCATTTATTTAATAGACCACTCATCTTATCAGAAATGTTGAGATGCCTATCTAGAATTGGTGGATGAAACGCAATTGAGGAAATGGAGAAATCAGGGTAGTAATTTTTTTTTTAAGTCCCTGTAATGTAAGCTGCAAAGTAGGATTCATCTTAAGACCGCCCTCTTTCTCCCTTATTTCCTCAGCCCTATCTAATAGATCACTGTTTTGGTCCATTTCATCTCTTCTCTTAGACATCCTCCTTGCCTTCCCCTCTGCCTCTACCCCACCTTACACACCTGAGAAGCTCTTAACAAACACTGACACCACCTTGGCTGCTGTGGATCAGTTGGAGCATCATCCCATACATCACATCCCATAGGATGTCTCCCATATCAATGTTTCTCTCTCGCTCACTCTCTCAATATCAATTTTAAAAAAATATTGATGCCTGCCACCACCAACCACCTCTAGTCTGACCTAACCAGACACTAAGGGGATCATTTTTTTTTTTAAGCTCCAGAAGTGATTCTAATATTAGGGCTAAGAACATTTGTTTAAGCTCAATTCATTTACACATCTGAAAGATCCCTCTGCCAGGTCTTTTCACCTCAGTCCAAGTTCTTGCCACCCTTCCTCCAATGCTTCTGCTCACTTCCTGTCTGTCATCTAACCTTGTAATCAAAATTACATTTCAAAAACTCCAATCTAGTCTTTTTACTCTACCGCTTGCAAACCATCCATGGACTTAACCTATCTTCCCAGTATCATTTGCTGCCTCTTCCTTCCCACTCCCACACTAATCTCTACTCCACCGAACAATCTATTAATCATGAGTAAGATGCTTTCATGCCTGCGCCTTCAGGCCTATGCATCTGCTTCTTGTTCCACCCCAGAAGGACTCCCCCTCCCTCACTGCCGGCCAAATCCTACTCACCCTTCAAAATCCAGCTGAAAGTTTACTTCCTTTCATCCACTTCTCCATTTGTTCATTGCAAAAAATTTTTTAAAAATATATTTTTATTGAGTTTTTACAGAGAGGAAGAGAGAGGGATAGAGAGCTAGAAACATCAATGAGAGAGAATCATCGATCAGCTGCCTCCTGCACACCCCCCACTGGGAATGTGCCCGCAACCAACGTACATGCCCTTGACTGGAATCAAATCCGGGACCTTTCAATCTGCAGGCCAACGCTCTGTCCACTGAGCCAAACTGGTTTCGGCCACTGCAAACATTTTATTGAGTGGTTACTCTGTGCCAGGCACTCTCCTGGGTGCTGGACACGCCCCTCTTCTGGCTATATGGTATGTGCTCCTGTAACTTTTTGGACAAACCTCTGCTAAAGTACTCCTCACGTTGCAATTTAATGTTTTCATTAGCTGGCTGTTCCCCCCTCCTAAACTCTGAGCAACTTGAGGATGAAATAGGCCTTATTCATCTTTGCAAGCTCAACACCCAGCCCATAGAAGGAGTTTAGAAACTGCTTAGTACTTGTTGACTAACAGTGAGAGCACGAGGAGCAGCTCTTTGGGGTGTGAGGTGTACCTATCTCTCCCGGTCTCCTGGGTTAGATGCCTCAGGGCCCTTGCTGCCCTACTGGCTGCAATCACTCAGCTGTCTCCCAATTTCCTACTCTCATAGTTGCTTTGCTGCTCCTACCTGAAGCCTCCCCTCTTCTACCCTCCAGAACTCTGTCAGAAGACCATTCATAAAGCAGCATGGGATGCCACTCTGTGGCTTAGCCTCTGAAGCTGCCCATCAAACAAACAGGAAAATGGGAGCAGCGGGCACAATCTGACTATCTGAAGCGAAGTCCCAAAGGTCCTTCAAGGCTTTTCAGAAAAGTCTTTCTCATGTAATCCATCTGGGGATGGGAAGGATCTGACTTCCACATTCCTGCAAGACAGTCATTCACTTCTCAGTCATTTCTCCGGTCACCTGAGATCACGTATCTTATTTCCACTTATGAAGTTATATTTTCAAATGCGCCTCTTTTCAATCTTGATGAAAAATGACACATTTTTAGTATGAAGCATAGCAAATAAGCAGAACTGATATCCTGTGAGAGTAATTCTTTCCATACCTGTTTAAACAACTTAATGGCATAGGTTTGGTTTTGGATCTCCGCTCTGTATACCTCGAAAATCTCCCCTTCTCCAATGAGGAAACCTTTGTGGAAGTTGTTGGTTCCTTCTAGGATGTTTTGAAAGCTGATAGAGGAGTTAAGCACTATTCCTTTGGAAGGAAAGTAGAGAGAAGATAAGTTACCTTTTCTTGAGTCAATGCCACCATTACAAAGAAGTAGGACTTCCATACCAGAAACACATCAAAGCACAGTGGAAAGTCAGTCAGGTGAGGCCCAGGAAACAAATGGAAACCCACCACGTGCTTTCTGCACAGTTACTCAGGTCTGGTGCCCACCGTTTCACAGAGCAAATGACTTTTTAGATATTCCAACAATAGCACTGTTATTCTACCATCCTTACATAGAGGTCAGCCAAAAAGCTCAGTTGGGAAACTTTTCCAAGATTCTGTTTCTTTGTCACTAGAACCATGAAGAATGAAAAACCAGTAAAAATTAAAAAGCATATTAGTGGAAAACTTGCTATTACTAAACAATATTTTCCAAGAATGACTGATGGAAACATTGTCCATTAGCCAAAACTTCCAAATGCCTTACTTTCGCAGAGTAAATTAGGAGGATGCAATAGCAAAGATTGGGAAGAAACATTTAAAAAGTAATCAAGTTGAAACCGGTTTGGCTCAGTAGATAGAGCATCAGCCTGCGGACTGAAAGGTCCCAGGTTCGATTCCAGTCAAGGGCATGTACGTTGGTTGCGGGCATATCCCCAATGGGGGGTGTGCAAGAGGCAGCTGATCGATGATTCTCTCTCATCGATGTTTCTAACTCTCTATCACTCTCTCTTCCTCTCTGTAATAAAATATATTTTTTAAAAATAAAAATAAAAAGTAATCAAATACAAATCCAAAAGCAAAAGCTTGGCTAAATCCTTCAGAACCCAATTTTGGCTATATTTCCACATTTAATGTTTGACTTAGACCTTACTGTTAAGTCTTAAAGGACCAACATTTTCTAAATCTCTTTTGAACCAAAGAAGCATCAGATCTAGTGGCAAAGATTAGACAAGGCAGCCTTAGAGAGCCACTGAGTTTATCAGAATGATTCCTAGGCAGAACTAAATTATGCTCTATGCTAACAAAGTAGGAAAGTTGATATGGAAAATAACTGGATTTTCACAGTGACTTTCAGAATTGCTCTACAAATATCTCTAAAAATCTCTGCAAGTGCTATTTAAAAAATTTAAAGCTATGTAAAACCCAACATAATTTTTAAATGTTTTCCTGACACATAAAAGTAGCAAATTTCACTAACAAAAAATAAGAAATCCCCTAAGAGAACACAATTATGTTCTTCATTGGGCAATATATTTTTAATTTCACAATAATATATCATCCATAAGAACTTCCTCAGTCAAAATTGCAAATATTTTGATACCTATGAAAATTTTATCCTGAATCTGCATATTAATGAACAGTTAATATACTTAGTGGATATTTCTCCCTCTCAATTGACTTAATTGAACACATGATTTTAAAAGAAGCAACATAAACTGATGGACAAAAACAGATCCAGAGACAATGGAGCATATTTCAGACTGTCAAACTTCAAAGGAAAGATAGGGGAGGGTGGGTGGTAAGGGAGAGAGATCAACCAAAGGACTTGTGTGCATGCACATGAGCCTAACCAATGGACACAGACAACAGGGAGGTGAGGGCATATAGTGGGGGGTTTAGGGGACAATGGGGAGATAAAAACAAATATATAATGCCTTAATAAAAAAAAATAATTAATGAAAAAATAAAAAGAGGTTTGGGTGTTTGATTTTTTGTGTGTGTGTTTTTACCTTTTTTATTATGTTCAGGGGTAGGAACATTATCCACTGTGACATTGGCTGTTTCCTAAGAGAAGGAATACATATTAAAGTAATTCAGTTTCATAAGTCTAGATAGAACAGAATTTCAACAGAAATCCAAAGCTCCCTCTGGGACTCTACATTTCAACAGAGTGAAATCTAATTTAGAAGAAAGCAAAATTATCTTATTTTATTCAATGATATTCATTGCCTTATATATTTAAGGCTTCCAGACCAACTGTAAAAACTTAAATATCAATGTCATAGTCAGTTATACTCGATTTTAAATGACTTCTATTGCTATAAAAGTGATTGCTGCAATTTGCTGTCAGAAAAGCTAACAGCAATATGCAAAACACCAATTAGAACAGGAAAATTAAAACAAATGCATAACTCACAGCGTCCTTAATAGTTCCAAGTCTCATCTCTGACAGCTCACTGTGAGGAGAAGGTGAACTCCTCAAGCATTTATGAATCTCTAATTTCCTGAATCCCCAACTAAACAAAGAATAATGAGCGCTAGGTTTGTCTGCTTTTACATTGGTACCTGAAGAGCAACATTTTTCTACACTTATGCTCAATTATGTATGCAACAGATTTCAAGGGTCATTATTTGTGTGCACACACTCTACCTTGGAGAATAAGTCTGGAAATCCATCTCCCTGAGGACTCTGCTCTGGAGGATTCAAGGCTGCTCCTGAAAGAGAGGTAAGCAGAGCTGGATTCAAAAACCTTTTATGTTCCTAATAGACATGTTCTTTTTTCTTTCTTAGACTGTGAAAATAAACACCTTGCTAGTAATGTTCATTTCTAAAGCTCAGTTTCATTTCTATGGAATAGTTACAAATGTATGTGTGTGAATACCGTGTTTCCCCAAAAATAAGACATCCTCTGAAAATAAGACCTAGCGCATGGAAAGATAAGACATCCCCTGAAAATAAGACCTAGCGCAACTTTGGGAGAAAAAATTAATATAAGACACTGTCTTATTTTCGGGGAAACAGGGTAGCTTTCTAATGATCAAATAATTTACAAACATATTTTGGTTCACTTAAAACAGGAATACCTACCTTAAATTAGTGTTAGGTAATATTTAAAAAGGTAAAGTAGAAAATTAAAAGGAAAAAAAAACCACATTGTTATCTTTTTGCCACATATATTGTAAAATTTTTTTACAACTATAGGATTATATCTCCCTTAGTTCATTTTTTATCCCATCTTATGCCATAAGCGTGAATGTGTGTGGGTGTGCATGCATGTGTGTGTATGCTTGTGTTAACCACTACATATACTCGCCACCACTCCCCAGTTTTAGACTGTAACTTCTGTCTGTTATAGTTCTGTCTGAACTCAGGTAATTAATAAAAGATTAAAACCCTGCAATATTTTACAGTCGCTTCTGATATTTCGATTCAGACTTTAGAAAATGTCATTTTCAAATTTTTCTTAGATTGGTTCTACTGTTTCTTAAATTATTTACTTAGAAGACTTGCAACAAAACACAATAAATTGATAACAAATCTCCTTGAAAAACACTATAAACTAAACATTATAGACCTAACAGACATCTATTGAACATTCCATCCCCAAACAGAAGACTATACACAATCTTCACAAGTGTACATTGAACATTTTCCAGAAGAGACACATGTTAGGCAATAAAATGAGCTTCAATAAATATGGCAGGTTTGAAATCATACAAAGCATATTCTCTGACCACTATGGAATTAAAGTAGAAATCAGTAACAGAAGGAAATCTGGGAAGTTTACAAATACATGGAAATTAAACAACAAATTCATAAATAATAAAGTCAAAGAAGAATCCCAAGGAAAATTAGAAAATATTTCAAAATGAATGAAAATAAAAACATATGGCCTGGCTGGTTGGCATCAATCTATGAACCAGGAGGTTAAGGTTCAGTTTCTGGTCAGGGCATATGCCTGGGTTGTGGGCTTGATCCCCAGTGTGGAGCCTGTAAGAGGCAGCCGATCAATGATTCTTTCTCATCATTCATGTTTCTATATTTCTCTCCTTCTCCCTTCCTCTCTGAAATCAATAAAATTTTAAAAAACCAAATATAACATATCAAAACATAATACAGCCAAAGCAAAATGTATTGAGGATCATTTAAAGGAAAATTCATAGCTGTGTATGCCTACATTAAAAAAGAATATCTCAAATACATAGCCTAAACTTATACCTTAAGTAGCTAGAAAAAGAAGAGTGAACTAAACAGAAGAAGGCAGAAGGAAAGAAAGATTTAAGATTTGAGTGGAATTAAATAAAATTTTAAAAATAGAAAAATGAAAAAGAAAAAATGAAGAAAACAAAAGTGGAGTCTTTAAAGAAATGAAAAATTGACAATCCTTTATTTAAACTGACCAAGAAAGAGGAAAGCTAAACCTACTAAAAAAGAGAAGACTTTACAGAAATAAAAAGAATTATAATGGAATACAAGAACAACTATATGAAAAAAAATAAATAACTTAGATGATATAAACAGATTTCTAGAAAAATACAAATTACTGATACTAACTCAAGAAGAAATAATCTAAATGGGCCTATAACAAAAAGATTGAGTTAATATGTTAAGAATTCCCTAAAGAAAAGTCCAAGTCAGGGTAAATTCACAGGTGAGTTCTACCAATAACTAAAGAAGATTTAACACCAGTCCTTTCCAAATTTTTAAAAAATAGAATTTATTCCAAAATTATTCTTTGAGGCCAATATTTTCCTTATACCAATGCCAGACAAAACATCACAACAAAACTACAGACCAATATCTCTTATGATCTCTTATGTATAAAGATGCAAAAATCTTCCACAAAATACTAATAAAACAGATCCAGAAATATATAAGAATTATTACTACAACCAAGTGGGATTCATCCCAGAATCCAATATTGCCTTTATATCTGAAAATCAGAATGGGAGAAACCAAGATGGCAGCATAGGTAACTGCCTAACTGCAGCCTCACACAACAATTTCAAAAAATACAACTAAAATATAAAGTGGACATTATCCAGAATTACAGGAAAGTTGACTGACTGGAAATTCTACAATGAGAAGGAAAGAGAAAACCAGAAGGAAAATCAGAGGAGCTATAAAAGGCTAAGGTACGAAGACACGTTGTGTGCGCAGAGAGGACTGAGCCAGAAAGGAGGGGCAGCTGAATGCCTGGCTGGCGTTCCCTAGCAGGAAGGAGATAAAAGATCCGGACTGTGCTTAACCCCAGTTCCGACAGCACTGAACCCCAGATACATACAGAGGGAATCTGGGCTGTAAGGCAGAAGTTCAGGGGAGTGGCTAAAGGCAGAGCCCCAGAGTCGCGCACATTGTGGGCAGAGGACGGACTGTTGACTGTGCTCCTAGATTGCCCTAGCGGGAAGGAGACAAAAGCTCTGGACTGTGCTGAGCCCCAGTTCCGACTGCACTGAACCCCAGTTCTGGGCGAGACCCCTGGGCCCCAGGCTCATACAGAGGGAATCTGGGCTGTAATGCGAAAGCTCAGGGGAATGGCGAAAGGCAGAGCCCCCAAATTGCACACATTTCGTGCAGAGGACAGACTGTTGACTGAGCCACTGGATTGTCCTAGTGGGATGGAGACATAAGCTCCAGACTGCTCTTAACCCCACTTCCAACTGCACTGAACCCATTGCAGGCTCATTGGGGGAGAGACTAGACTGTCTGGTAGCGGGCAAAACTCGAGGGCACCTTTCTCTCAGAGGTGCTTGCAGGGAGTACCAAAGGACACTGAGGAACACTGAGACTCAGGAACCTATAAGGTGAAGCCAAGGCTGTAGGCTCCACCCTGAAACTCCACCCCATCCAAGCTGAGCACAGAGGCTCTTGCAGTTTTCCAAGTCTAGTCGAATAAGGCTGTCTCCTGGCATAGATACAGCCGATCCTCCAACCCTACCAACTCAGGGAAGCAGCAAAAATGCCAAGACAAGGAAACAGATAACAAACAAAAGAAATGGAGGACAAAAAGCGATTGGATACAGAGTTCAAAACCACGCTTATAAAGTTTTTCAAGAATCTCCTAGAAAAGGCCAATAAAATAAAAAAGACCTATGAAGATATGAAAAGGGATCAACTAGAAATAATAAAGGATCAACTAGAAATAATAAGGGATCAGCAAGAAATAAAGAATACATTCTCTGGAATAAAAAATATTATACAGAGTCCTAAAAACAGAATGGAAGATCGCAAGAATCAAGTCAAAGACTTGGAACACAAAGAGCCAGAGGACACTCCTCCGCAGAAGAAAGAAGACAAGAGAATCCAGAAAGTTGAAGATAGTGTAAGAAACCTCTGGGACAACTTCAAGCGAACCAACATCAGAATTATGGGTGTCCCAGAAGATGACAGAGAGCAAGATACCAAAAACATATTGAAAAAAATAGTGACAGAAAACTTCCCCCACCTGGTGAAAGAAATAGACTTACAAGTCCAAGAAGTGCACAGAACCCCAAACAAAAGGAATCCAAAGACACACCAAGGCACATCATAATTAAAATTCCAAGAGCAAAAGACAAAGAGAGAATATTAAAAGCAGCAAGAGAAAAGCAGGTAGTTACCTATAAAGGAGCACCCATACGATTGTCAGCTGATTTCTCAACAGAAACCATGCAGGCCAGATGGGAATGGCAAGAAATATTCAAGGTGTTGAATAACAAGAATCTACAGCCAAAAATACTCTACCCAGCAAAGCTATCACTCAGAATCGAAGGCCAGATAAAGAGCTTCACCAATAAAAAAAAAAAAAAAAGCTAAAGGAGTCCATTACCACCAAACCAGAATTATATGAATTGCTAAAGGGGGTTCTTTAAGAAGAGGAAGAAGATAAAGATAAAAATTATGAACAACAAATATGTAACTATCAACTAGTGAATCTAAAACCCAAGGGAATTGCCAGGTCTGGTTTGGCTCAGTGGATAGAGCGTTGGCCTGCGGACTAAAAGGTCCCGGGTTCAATTACAGTTGAGAGCATGTACCTTGGTTGCGGACACATCCCCAGTAGGCAGCTGATCGATGATTCTCTCTCATCAATGTTTCTAACTCTCTATCCCTCTCTCTTCCTCTCTGTGAAAAATCAATAAAATATATTTTTAAAATAAATTAATTAATTAATTAATTAATATAAATAAATAAATAAAAACCAAGGGAATTGAAAACCTGATGAACAATATTAACTGTTGAATATAATAGAATCAGTGGTACGGAAAGAGAGTGGACTGACAATTCTCGGGCAAAAGAGGAGAGGGGGGCGCGGGAAGAGACTGAACATAAACTGTGCACCTATGGATGAGGACAATTGTGGGTGGGGAAAGGGCAGAGGGTGGGGTGGGAACCTGGTGGAGGGGGAAAAATGAGGAACTTTTGTAATAATATGAACAATAAAGATTTATTTTAAAAATATCTGAAAATCAATCAGTAAAATAAATCATATTCATAGAATGAAGAACAAAACCTGTTAAATCCAATAACCTATCATAATAACAACTACATAGCAACAGAATTTCCTTAATTTGATAAAAAAGCATTTATGAACAGATAGCATCATTTACAATTATGAAAAACTGAATAGTTTCTCTTTTAGATCAACAACAAGAAAAGGATGTCTGGTCTTGCCACTTGTATTCAATAATATATCAGAGATTCTAGCCAGGGCAATTAGTCAAGAAAAAGATAT